TTCAGATATTTTCCTTCTATACATAATTTGTTGAGAGTCTTTATCACCAAGTGATGTTGAATCTTGTCAAATGCTTTTTCAGCACCTATTGAGACAATCATATAGTCTTTGTCCTTGAGTTTGTTGATGTGATGTATCACATTTATTGACTTTCATATGTTGAACTATCTTTGCATCCCTCAGATGAATCCCACTTGATCATAGTGTATAATTTTTTTAATATGTTGCTGTATTCTGATTACTAATATTTTGTTGAGGATTTTAGCATCTAGGTTCATCAAGGATATTGGCCTGTAATTTTCTTTTTTGTTGTGTCTTTACCTGGTTTTTGTTTCAGAGTTATGTTGGCCTCATAGAATGAGTTTGGGAGAATAGCTTCTGTTTCAATTGCTTGAAATAGTTTGAGGAGAATTGGTATTAACTCCTCTTTAAAAGTTTGATAGAATTCAGCTGTAAAACCATGTGGACCTGGACTTTCTTTGTTGGAAGATTGCTAATTACCATTTCAATCTCCTTGCTTGTTATTAGTCTGTTCAGGTTTTCTATCTCTTCTTGATTGAGTCTGGGTAGTTTGTATGTGTCTAGAAGCTCATCCATATCTTCCAGATTTTCATTTTTGTTGTCATACAGTTGTTCATAATAGTCTCTAATGATTCTTTGTATTTCTGTGGTATTGGTTGTAATGTCTCCCTCTTCATTTCTGATTTTTGTTATTTGGGTCTTCTCTTTCTTTTTTTTTTTTTTTTTTTTTTTTTTTTTTTGTTAACCTAGGTAATTGTTTGTCTATTTTATTTATCTTCTCAAAAAACCAACTTTTTGTTTAGTTGATCTTTTCTATTGTTTTTTGGGGTCTCTATTTCATTTAGTTCTGCTCTGATCTTAATTATTTCTTTCCATCTACTACCTTTAAGTTTGAATTGTTGTTGTTTTTCAAGTTCTTTGAGGTGTAGTGTTAGGTCATTTATTTGGAAGTCTTTCCATTCTTTTGATGTAAGCATTTATTGCAATAAATTTGCCTGTTAGTACTGCTTTTGCAGTATCCCACAGGTTTTGCTATGATGTATCTTTATTTTCATTAGTTTCTAGAAATTTTTTGATTTCCTGCTTAATTTCTTCTTGGACCCATAGGTCATTCAAGGGCCTATTATTTAGTTTCCATGTATTTGTAGTTTCCAGAGTTTTGCTTATTATTTCTTTCCAATTTTAGTCCATTGTGGTCTGAAAAGATACTTGGAATGATTTCAATTTTTAAAAAATTTGCTAGGACTAGATTTGTGACCTAATATGTGGTCTATCCTGGAGAACATTCCATGAGTTGATGAGAAGAAAGTATCTTCTTTAGTTGTTAGGTGAAATGTTCTTTGTATATCTGCCAAGTCCAGTTGGTCTAAGGTGTAAATTAAATCCTGTGTCTCTTTGTTGACTTGTTGTCTGGAAGATCTGTCCCATACTGAGAGAGCTGTGTTCAGATAACCCACTATTAATGTATTAGCTCCTATTTCTTTTTTAGGTTTAAGAGTGTTTCCTTTATATATCTGGGTGCTCCGGTATTGGGTGAATACATGTTTATGATTGTTATGTCTTCTACCTGGATAGATCCCTTTATCATTATATAGTGGCCTTCTTTGTCTCTTTTTATGTTTTTTGGTTTAAAGCTATTTTGTCCTATATAAGAATAGCTACTCCTGCTCATTTTTGATTTCCATTTGCATGATATATATTTTTCCATCCCTTCACTTTTAGTCTATGTGGGTTTCTACAGGTAAAGTGGGTCTCTTGAAGACAGCATATACTTGGGTCTAGCTTTTTAATCCAATGAGTCAATGTCTTTTGAATGGGGAGTTTAGTCTATTCACATTTAGGGTAGTTATTGACAAGTGTGGCATAATTCCTGTCATTTTTTTTTTCCTTTTTGTCTTTTTTACTGACCGGTAACGGGATCACAACCCTCGGTGTCGCGCCCGTACTGGGGAC